GCTCAACGGAAAAGATTATTATTTGATTTTTATTTTTTCGATCACAAATAATGATTATTTTATGATTTTTATTTTTTCGCTCAGACACAATAATTATAATTGAGTTTTATTTTTCCACTTAAAAATAATGATTATTTATAAAATTGAAAAGGCTATGCAGACGCAGCTTACTGAAATTTTGATTTGAAAATTTTGGCACTTATTCCTTTAATTAAGGTTCGCTAGCTATGAAAATGATACGGCTGAAATCACGCTAGTATAGCTGTTGAGTGTTTTTAGTCATCAATGTTCTTAAGTGAAAAAAATAAAACTCAGTAATAATTATTATCTTTGTGCGAAAAAAATAAAAATCATAAAATAATCATTATTTTTGATCGAAAAAAAATCAAGTAATAATAATTACCTTTGAGCGAAAACTTAAAACTCGAATAGTAATTATTATTTTTAATCTTCATTGGTTAAAATTTGAAAAATAAAAATCTTTGTACGAAAACAAATACGTGGGTATAAGTAAAATTGTGTTACGACGATTACAACTTGTTAATTTAACACAATTTAAAAAATAATGATTATTTTCCGTCCCTGCAATAAATGCAAGAATTCTTTAGCTTTTTTTTGCCGAGAGAAGGGATTGACACTAAAAGAAACAACTCGTGGGATTTGCTTATATTCGGTAATTTCGCGCAAAGGGGTCGTTATGTCTTTGAGTATGGTTGCCACCTATCTTTAAACTAAGTTATTAAGCTATACCACTAAACTATTTTTTCACATTTTAGTAGTAAAGGGCTGTGCTGTTTGCAGCTCTCAGGAAAAATAAGAAGTTCATATAAAATGCCGCAAAGGAAATGGAAAAGAAATTTTATTCTATCAAAATTTCTTAAATCAGTTTGCAGTTCGCAAGAAAAAAATGCATGTAGAGTTATTCTTCAAGAAAATTTGCAGCAACAGCAAAGTACTTTTCTATCAACAGAAATAATGAAAAATATTTCTTGTGATTTTTCTTGAGAGCTAGATTCTAAAGCAAGAATTTTTGCAACTTTTCGGCATTTCTTATCCACTCTGCCCATCTGCCTGAATATTTCACTCAGACTATGACTCTGTTTCTAACTATTTTGATAGTAAAGTATTGCTTTTTTGTTCATATGAAAAAAATTCAAAAATCGTTTGCCTAACATGAATAATGGCAGCAATTACTCAAGTAGAGGGCATTCATTCTTTACCAGTGCGCACGCAAACAAGCAACAGAACATTTAGCAAAATTATTATTATTATTTTTTTTTTCAAAAATAAAAAGCGTTTACATAGCCGCCATTTCGGAAATCAGCAGATCTCCTCATCAGACTGCTTCATCGAGTTCAGTGGGACTTCGGCGTTCAAAGCCAGTGGTCTTACCCACTAAGCTAAGTTTGCAAACAGTATACATTTTTAATAGGCCACAAAATAACAAATAAAAATCATAAAAATATGAGACAAAATTTATTACGCAAGTATTATAGGTCAATATACCTTCTTCTATAAACAGATGAGGCCGATGAAAGTGTGCCGTGGTATTGTTTGTGTTCGTTGCATTGACAACATTTCGAACAACCGTTGCCCATTTTTT